TGAATGCCGCGCACGCATTGCCAGACGAGTCGAGAATGGCCCGGTACACCGCAGGAAGCCAGAGGTGGCCGGAGGAAGCCCGACGGTCTGACAGGACACCCCAAAGCATTTTTGTGAAAAAGCATTGGGTTTTTGATGTTTTTATGTTGAAATGCTTGCAAACACACGGTGTTCGGTAGGATTCTGACATGAACGCGCGAGTGTGCTCTTTGTGGTATTTTTGCACAGGATTCGCGGCCTGGGTGCATGACAGAGCATCGCGAGTGCACCGCGCGATGACGTGAAATCGCTGGATTTGACCGAATTCTTAAGATTCCTATGGTTTTCCTATGATTTCAGCAAGAGAGCCCGGGCGGGAAATTTGTACAATTTTTGTGAAAAAGCATTGGGTTTTTTGATGTTTTTATGTTGAAATGCTTGCAAACACACGGTGTTCGGTAGGATTCTGACATGAACGCGCGCGTGTGCTCTTTGTGGTATTTTTTGCAATGGATTATCGCCGTGGACGACAGGACGTCCATGTCGAGAGGAAAAAATAAGAAAAATGTTGATTTCGTGTTGTTTTTTACAGGTTAGGATGGGACCACCCGGATGCGGCCCCTAATGGCCGGCCTGAGGGGGGAGTAGGAGTATATTCTAATAAGGAATAAGGATAGGAGTAGGAGTCAAGCTAGCCAGCTCGAGCGAGTCAAGCATGGCATGCCCAGTCCCACCCGCCCTCCCACAACATAAGAAGCAAAGCTGGCACAACTGGGGGCCGAAGTCACACCGGCCAGCCGGTTGGTACAGCTGATGCGGCCGCGATGGCGGTTGCCGACGGGAACTGGCGAGCGCGTGTTGAATGCCGCGCACGCATTGCCAGACGAGTCGAGAATGGCCCGGTACACCGCAGGAAGCCAGAGGTGGCCGGAGGAAGCCCGACGGTCTGACAGGACACCCAAAGCATTTTTGTGAAAAAGCATTGGGTTTTTGATGTTTTTATGTTGAAATGCTTGCAAACACACGGTGTTCGGTAGGATTCTGACATGAACGCGCGAGTGTGCTCTTTGTTGTATTTTTTGCACAGGATTCGCGGCCTGGGTGCATGACAGAGCATCGCGAGTGCACCGCGCGATGACGTGAAATCGCTGGATTTGACCGAATTCTTAAGATTCCTATGGTTTTCCTATGATTTCAGCAAGAGAGCCCGGGCAGGAAATTTGTTGAATTTTTGTGAAAAAGCATTGGGTTTTTGATGTTTTTATGTTGAAATGCTTGCAAACACAAGGTGTTCGGTAGGATTCTGACATGAACGCGCGCGTGTGCTCTTTGTGGTATTGTTTGCAATGGATTATCGCCGTGGACGACAGGACGTCCATGTCGAGAGGAAAAAATAAGAAAAATGTTGATTTTGTATTGTTTTTTACAGGTTAGGATGGGACCACCCGGATGCGGCCCCTCATGGCCGGCCTGAGGGGGGAGTAGGAGTATATTCTAATAAGGAATAAGGATAGGAGTAGGAGTAGGAGTCAAGCTAGCCAGCTCGAGCGAGTCAAGCATGGCATGCCCAGTCCCACCCGCCCTCCCACAACATAAGAAGCAAAGCTGGCACAACTGGGGGCCGAAGTCACACCGGCCAGCTGGTTTGGTACAGCTGATGCGGCCGCGATGGCGGTTGCCGACGGGAACTGGCGAGCGCGTGTTGAATGCCGCGCACGCATTGCCAGACGAGTCGAGAGTGGCCCGGTACACCGCAGGAAGCCAGAGGTGGCCGGAGGAAGCCCGACGGTCTGACAGGACACCCCACAGCATTTTTGTGAAAAAAAGCATTGGGTTTTTGATGTTTTTATGTTGAAATGCTTGCAAACACACGGTGTTCGGTAGGATTCTGACATGAACGCGCGAGTGTGCTCTTTGTGGTATTTTTTGCACAGGATTCGCGGCCTGGTGCATGACAGAGCATCGCGAATGCACCGCGCGATGACGTGAAATCGCTGGATTTGACCGAATTCTTAAGATTCCCATGGTTTTCCTATGATTTCAGCAAGAGAGCCCGGGCGGGAAATTTGTACAAGTTTTGTGAAAAAGCATTGGGTTTTTGATGTTTTTATGTTGAAATGCTTGCAAACACACGGTGTTCGGTAGGATTCTGACATGAACGCGCGCGTGTGCTCTTTTGTGGTATTTTTTGCAATGGATTATCGCCGTGGACGACAGGACGTCCATGTCGAGAGGAAAAAATACGAAAAATGTTGATTTTGCATAGTTTTTTACAGGTTAAGGATGGGGAACCCCCGGATGCGGCCCTATCGGCCGGCCCTGTGGGCGAGTAGGAGTTATTATTCTAATAAGAATAAGGATAGGAAGTAGGAGAAGGAGGAGGAGGAGGAGGAGGAGGAGGAGGATGAGAGGAGGAGGAGGGAGGAGGAGGAGAGGAGGGGGGAGGAGGAGGAGGGGGGGTCGGGGGGTGAGGGCAAGGAGGATGAAGTGGAAGAGGACGATTATCGTCATGACGGTGGCGATGGCCATTGCGGATGGTGATGGTGATGGTGACGTCGACGGCTGGGACGATGAGGTAGGGGGTGATGATTGCTGTGATGAGGATGATGGTGGTTCGTTGACGTGGTGACAACGGTGATGACGCTTGATGGTGACAAGGAAGGTTGAGATGATGACGAGCGGAGGGAGAAGGAGGAGGGAGGCAGGACACTGGAGGTAGGAGGAGGAGGCAGAGGAGAGGAGGAGGACGAGAACGAGACGGAAGAGGAGGAGGCGGAGGAGGATGAGGAGGATGATTAGGAGGAGAAGGAGGAGACGGAGGATGATGAGGAGGAGGAGGAGACGGACGAGGAGGAGGAGGAGGAGGAGGACGAGGAGAAAGAGGAAGAGAAGGAGGAGGACCAGTGCAAACCCAAGACACATCCACGATGTCTTAGCCCTATAAGAATGTAGTGCCGTTGCAGGGAGTGGTCCATGGAAAGCCAACAGTCCGACGAAGTCAAAAAGGGAACGATGCCATCCCCCCAGGCTCCAGAAAAGGGGGAGATGCCTCGCCGTGACCAGACACATACAACACACCAGTTACA